GTCGGCGCCAAAGACACACTTAAATAAAGCAACAAAAATCGAAATTAAGTGGATAGGCTCGAGTTTCGCTCGCAAGTGATAAATATAGTTTTCCACGTTCGACTATCTTTAATCTGCGCGACTATGATCGGAAATATGGTTTATAGGTAGACTCGTAGTGGCCTACCCAGCCACATCACCAGGCCATTTAATGAATGCTGGTGACTTAAACAATCATTGGTGCTGTCTGTATCAGTAAATCCCAGAGCATCCTGCTGGGAGGACTCAGCGCAGCGGATAAAATATCGCTCTCTTTCATTAGCAGTTAGTAACCAGAACTAACTAAGTCGAGGGCACTGAACTAAGCGCAACCGACTATGCTGTTCTGCAGCACATCCTTCCTAAAAATCGGTGCTGAACCAAAATTGTGGCTGTCTATACCTTATTATAATCGTCACGATTGTCAGCTTGCCATTATATTGTCTGCCACAAAAGGTTGGCGCAGTGTTTAAGCTTTACTTCTCGAACCAAACCCGCTTCGTGCTTCGCACGGAAGAAAGCGTCAATAACATCACCTTGTTCATCTTGGAAAAGGCCAATTTCCTACGACGCAGCATTTGATTCCAGGAGTCAATACAGCTTCATGACGCATTCCCTGATCCAAACTGACATACGTTGTGGGACTTTCATCGACATCGTTATATTCTCTTAACAAAATCTTGGGAGCCATCTGATTCTTCCACGTTTCTGGTTAGTGCTCTCCTGGGTTCGCCTCAGCAGCGCTATCTCAAGACCACTTTCCGCTGGTAGATCGCATATTTCCTGATTCCATCGAAACACAACATAAATTAACTTTTATTAAGGTATTCAACTTGTCCTTGGTATAGGTATTCTTCCATTTCATATTCTATTCTAACAGATGATACAGTCTTATCACGACACGGTCGTGGAATCGACTACAGTGCTACCAGGTCTAACAGACAGGGGTGCACTGCATATTACACAGACAAAGCTTTGAATCTCAGATATCGTGTTAGTAAACGAATAGAGGCTGGCTTTGTGCGCCTCTACCAGGAGTGGAACCGAAAGATTGCAGATAAACAAGGTCTTAAGTTTCTATATGTATAGCTGCAGAGTACATTAATTTCGTATCCATTCTATCCGATATTTACTTTCGAGCAGCCAAAAGAGAAGAGAAGAGAAGAGAAGAGAAGAGAAGAGAAGAGAAGAGAAGAGAAGAGAA